TGTGGACTGAAAATAAAAGACTTGAGAAGGTTAGGGAACTTGTTCAAGGGTGGCAGAAAGTTCATTAATATAGACCTTGTGTGAAAATATATATTTCAAATATATGTCTGTATACCGTGTAGAACATAACTTCAGGTATATTTTTTTTCCCATTTTCATTCAGATATAGGTTATCAATCATGTAATTCTGGTTCAGGAGCAAATAAACATATTTGAGGCCCAATTAAATACATTCTACAAGATTGCCATCTTTATTCACTTGTTAAACTTTGAATAAAATAATTGTTTCCCAAATTACTTTACAAAATCACAGAATTCATAAATTTAGAGCTATGAGAGACTTTGGGAGTCATCTAACAAAAGCCTATCATTTTACAGGCAAAGAAACTGAGGCACAGAAAGTTTTAGTAATTTCAGAAAAGTCACACAGGTATTAAATAGCTAGGAGATGACGCCATTTCCTCTAACTCCAAATCTAATAGTATTTTCATTGAATAAGGCTGTTCCTCTATACCATTGCCCCCTTACCATTTGTCACAATACCTGTCAATGGAGTAGTTCTAATAAAAGATAAAAATGAAAGTTTTCTGATAGATTACAACTGGGTCAATTTCCTACAGTATTTGATATTTACATATTCCCTGCTTTAGAATATGAAAAATAAATAGCAAGATCATGAGGTCAGAGATACTAGGAATATAGTATAGATGAAACATACTTGCTTTGTACATAGTACTTCTTAAACTAGGCCTGCATGTAGTGAAGAAGGATCCAGTGACTCGTGGATTCAGTAGCTCTGATTCAAATTCCACAGCTATGCATGGGAAAGACTTAATAACTGTAAAAAATGTAATGACCAACCACAATCCCAGAGGACCAATAATGGAGCATGCTAACTACTTCCTGAGAAATGAGACAGACTCAAAATGCAAAATAAGGCATAGAACAATGTGAGGATTCATTTTGCTTGACTATGTATATTTGGTATTTTCTCCTCCTTCCTCACCTCAGTTTGGGGATAGGGATTTGGAAGAGAGAGAAAATAAATGCTTAATAGAAAAAATTAAATGAATATTAATAATATTTAATTAATTAATAATGAAAGCAAAGAAAAACTTTAAAAGAAAAACATACCTGACCATTTTTGCCATAAACTCTGTTTCGGACCCTTCATAGCATCACAGAATAACAAAGATGTGAGTGACTTTAGAGAGCATAGATTAATTATTTCTTTCATAGATCAGAAAAAAAATATATATATATGTATATATATCTAACCACTTCTACCTAACTTCTATTTAACCACTCTTTACATTTTATGATTTGAAAGTATAAGACCTTCTTATCCTATGTGATATATGCCTGCTTACTTAATCAATTGATTATGACAAGTAATTATTAAGCTCTTTCTATGGGCCACAGAGAACACAAAGAAAATAAAACAAACTAAAAGAAACAAACAAACAAAAATTACATAGTCACTGCCAGAAGGAGCTAACATTTATGGGGGGGAGACAACATACAAACAATTATGTGCATACCAGATGTGTGTGTATATATATATATATATATATATATATATAGAGAGAGAGAGAGAGAGAGAGAGAGAGAGAGAGAGAGAGATCTATATAGATATAGACATAGATATAGATATAGGTATAGATATAGATATAGATACAGATACAGATACAGATACAGATACAGATACAGATACAGATACAGATATAGATATAGATATAGATATAGATATAGATATAGATATAGATATAGATATAGATATATAGATATATAGATATAGATACACTGTAAATGGGAAATGGTCCCAGAGGAAAGGCACTCGGAATCAGAAGAGGGAGAATGGGAAAGGCACCTTACTAAAGGTAGGATTTGAGCTGAGTCTTAAAGAAAACCAGGGGAGTCAGAAAATAGGGGTGAGAAGGGTGAATCTTTCAGGAATGAGGTGACGGGGGACAAATAATGAAAAGGAATATATACGCAGGAGATGGGCTGTTGAGTGAAAGGAGCAACCAGAAGCCCAAAGTAGCAAGATTATAGAGTATATGGAAGAGTATGAAGCCTAGAAATGTAGGAAGAAGCCAAGGTGTCAAGTGCTTTAAAAAGTACATAGAGGATTTCATATATAATTCTGGAGTAAATCAGGAACATGGTTAGAGCTGCACTTTAGGAAGGTCACTTTGGCAGCTGTGTGGAGGAAGGACTATAATGGAGAGAGACACAAAGTAAGGAAACTAACCGTAAAGATATTATAATAGCCCAAGTGTGAAATGATTAGTGCCTACACCAGTGTAAGGGCTGTAGGAATGAGAACAAAAAAGAAACACATTTAAAAGATATTTTGAAGATAGAAACATCCTCCCATAAGTCCTCCGCAGTGGATCTGCTCCACACATTGCAGCCCTTCTTTTATGCTTCAATATTTTGTGGACACCAATGTAAATTTTCTTGACTCTTATTCATCCTTTATTTCAAATCCTCAATGGAGCCATCTTCCACCCTTTCTTCCTGAACCCATATGAGTATACATACATACATACATACATACATACATACATGTATACTCACATATGTGTATATACATGGGCACACACATGCACACACATGCACCCTGCATACCCGGTAGGAAGAATTATCAATAGCAAATATCTCAAACCACTAAACCCAATCGCATTATTCTACCCGTAGTAGCAAGTGCCCCAATGATGGGATTCTTTCGACAAAGGCTCTTCACTTGGAAATTTAAAACCATCATTTGACAAATAATTATGTGTTTACTGCTCAATTTTAGGCACTTATTTAGGTTGGAAACATGTAAATAATTTCCTTTGAGAATTTGCTTTAAAAGATAGAACTCTACCTTTGTTTTATTTCCTTTGTTATACAACCACACAACAATGGTAATTAGTGACAAATTTGAGTTATTTCCTTATGTGGTATTTTAATGCTAACATTCATATTTGAACATTATCTTGTTGATATAATTAATTCCTTGGTGAAAAGATATGGCTAAAAAGTCTCATGAATTATTAACCTATAATCTGTTTTCATCACAACAGGATGTAATTTTTTCTTAACAGTTGTGATATTTTCTTCAGTAGTCTCTCTTGCTCACTCTACCTAAAAAACTGCTTAACATTCCAAGTATTCAGAGGCCTTACACACAGACATGAGCCACATTCTCATTTAGCATGATCTTCATTAGTCACAAGTATTTTAATCACTACTCTGAGTATATAAAATGCTAATCTTCACACTTAAAGTCCAAACCAGTCTTCGGTCTGTTTGTCCCCTTTCTCCTGACCATGTAGATGAGGTTATTTTTGTTGTTCAGTTGTGTTTTACTTTTCATGACCCTGTCTAGGGTTTTCTTGGCAAAGGGACTAGAGTGGTTTTCCATGTCCTTCTCCAGCTCATTTTACAGATGAGGAAACCGAGACAAACAAGGTTAAATGACTTGCCCAGGGTCACACAGTAAGTGTCTGAGGTCAGATTTTAACTCAGGAAAATGAGTCTTTCTAATTCCAAGCCCACTGTGCTCTATCCATTGCACAACCCCACTGCCCATGGAGGAGATTAATTGTAACTATTAAATACCTACTTCATGCCAGAGACTGTTCTAGGCACTGAGGGTAAAAGTACAAAAAACAAATATGCATAAGTATTAGTACTTATGGAGTATCAGCATTCACTTAAAAGTAAGGGGAAATGGACATAATAGCTAATATCAGCATAAGTTGAAATGGAATTATGAAAGTTTCCTATTTTTGCTTGTCCTAGAGATCCATTTCACCTAGGTACTCATTAGTGTAACTAATGAATCTCCTAAAGTGAACACATTATTTAAATTCATACTGTATATTTCTATTTGGGTGGAACCAATGGCCATCTTTTACATACTTATAAGTTCAAATAGTATGAATTCAAATACATGCAACCACTTGAGGTATTCATTATTCACAAAAATTGGGACCTTGATTGGATTCTAGGGTTGGAAGGAGGTCAGGTATTCCATTTTCCCATCTTTAGGCTAATATATAACTAAATTAACTGATTTTTTTTTGAAATAGCCCCACAGAAGGAGGCCCCCAGAATTTTATCTTGGATAAAGCTGATAAGGAATTATTTGTTGCTTTCCCAACATTAAAAGAAATCAACCTTATCAAAATCCAGTATTGATAATTCATTTGCTTATTTGTTTATTTTGGTCAGTTTTGATCTAAAAAGAAGTAGATAGCCTAAGGCCTGCAAGAAAACTATTTCTTTTGTTGTTGTTTTTTGTTTTGGAAAAAGGGGTAACATTTTAATGAATACCTTAATATTAACTAATGTTAAAATCAAATATTTCTCTAAAAATTGGGAACTTTTACATATTGAATTTCATACTAGCATGTTTATTTCAATTTATTTCAAATGTGAGGAGAACAAATGTGATATTTTGGCATACAATTTTTTTAAAGAAAAAAAACCTTTGAATTATAAATAGATGGATTCAAGAAATTCTTCTTTTTTTATTCCCAAAGTAATCAGAAGTCAGCATGTCACTATTGCTCCTTGACATGGTCAGTGTCTTTGTTCTATGTCCTCTTTATCTCTGAATCCTGTATCACCTTCTCAATAGAGGGCACTGTATACCACTTTAAAAGATAAGAGTTTCAATAGGCACTTTAGTGGAATTAAGAAAAAAATCTACCACTCTTCCACCTTGATGCCAGAAAGCCGTCTTCTTTCTAGGTTGTCATGTCATTTAATTGTAGCGAATAGGCCTGAGCTCATCTCAGTGCTTCCAAAGTACAAAACAAAACAAAACAAAAAAGGAAAAAGGGGGGAAGAGGACATATTATAGGATTTATCTTCTGTTTGCAGAATCAACCCAAATTGACAGCATGATAAATATAGTAACTTGCTGGAAACCAAGTAAACAAAGTAATCTTGTCCTATAAAGTTTGGGTGCTGTTTCTGTTCCCCACCCACCCACCCCCATTTGTAGTTTCTTTTAAATTTTTCCTCTTGGTTCAATGTTAACCCCGCCGCCTAGGTGACTTTGTCAGAGTTATAACTTTCTTCCTCTCCAAACATGTCTGCCAAGACTTTAAAGCGTGGTCCCCAGTCAGCCAGGTAGTCATAATCCTGGTCTGCTTCTGTAGTGCGGGAGTCTATGGAGCTGAGGGACTCTGCTACAGATCCATCGCCTTCATAGGCATATGTTGCCAATGAATCATAAGGGGGTGCCGTGGGATCCACATCATTTTCCTGTAGCCTTTGATTAATGAAATCTCTTATGTCAGTGTTATCTTCCACCGGTGGTCTCTGACGAGGTAAACAGAGAGTGTCTGGTTTTATATCCCTGCGTATTTTGTTATCTTCAATCACTTTTGGATTTCTCAGGGCACCAATATCGAAAGCCTGAGTGTCCTCTTCTCCACCTCCTTCATCATCATAATGGATAACATTGTCTCTGATGTCTTCTTTAGAGGTCATCAGGGTGTCTTTTTTCTTCTGCCTTCGCAGGGCGACATACAACACAACAATGGCTGAAACGAGACAAAAATTGCATTTTGAAACTGACAAGAAAGTTCAGCTCTTGCCTGAAATGTCAATACAATCCTTCAGGTGAAAGCTAAATGAAACCCAGTTTTTTTAAAAGACTCACTATTATTATCCTACAAAGTAAAGTCTCTGTAACTAGCCAGTCGACTATTTTCTTATTCAAATATTTAGTCCTCATTTTCTCTGAATACCTTGCATTGATGCCTCTAACTTGCAGGTACCTAGTACGAACAGTATTTATCAGAATTATGAAATGTTCTAGTTTAAGATTCCAGTAAAGTTTTTGTGATGAATTTTTAAAATGAAATAGGTACTTGATTATTAATTCAGCTATACACCTAAAACTGTAGAGCTAGAATAGTGAGCATTTTAGTTTAGAATACTCAGATAATTTTCACCCAGGAACACAATAATGTTCCTAAGAGTACCATAGTTTTCCAGCAGACAGGGCAACATTAAATACGTCCACACTTTGGAAGGGAGTAATTTGAGCCAATTGCTTAGGGGTGAGGTGGGGAAGGTGGGGGTTTGGGTTGAGAGAGAATGAAGGAATGAAGATCATCTGAGTCCCCAGGTCTATTTTATGAAATAAAAAGATCTTAGGCTCAATTAATCAGAGGTGTGCTATTAAAGTTTTAACAATCCACTCTCTAGAATACACACACACACACACACACACACACACACACACACACATATGATACACTTTAATATTAATCTTCATTAACATTTTTATCATTTTCTTAAGTTTAGATAGTAAGCAAAACAATAATTCAAGCTCTGATTTGTAGGATTTGTGATTTGCACTGCAATGGCTCACACTGAAAGTTTAACAATCAGTTCTCCTAATTCAGTTCTAGCTGGTTCCAGAACACCCTATGAAAGGACACAGTGAGACTCTGAATGGCTTATTTGCACAGAAAGAGTCAAGCTGAGGATTGAAGGAGACAAGGGATTTGCTCTTTGGTGTAAAGAGACTAAATTTCAAAATTTTTTTAAAAAATTTTTTTAATGGACAGTCAAGTAGAAAGTCACCTATGGAGGATGTACCTGGTTCCTCATATTGTTCTTCTGTTCCCTTGCAGCATGTAGAAAGAGTAAAAGGGAGAAGGGGAGGAGAGAAGGAAATTCCTAGCTGAGACCCCTACTGTCACCAGGGCGTGGGTCCCAGTTCTACTACTGAGATCCCACAGTAGTAATTTAGGCTAGAATTTCATCTGAACTCAGAGCTGAAGATGTCAAGACTACAGTCAAGTGTCAGTGTCACATGCCCTGCTAAAGGACAAGCTAATGGGGGAATTTGGCACAGAGACATTGGACCATCAGAGGAACAGGTTTAGGAAGACCGTATCCAGTAGAAAAGGGACTAACTCTGTAGTTTCAGGATTTGGGTTCAAACTTTGCTACTAATACCAATACGATCTTTGTCAAGTCACTCAGTCCTCTGAGGTTCCTCCCAGCTCTATGATACAAATTGATATGATATGAGTATGAAGAGACACTAGTGGGACAGGAGGGTCCAAATGGTAACAGAAGCACTTATGGGATAGTGAGTCTCAAGTCTAGGGAGGATATTATTTGTACATTTCAGCAAATGCCTTAGCTTCAAGCTAACTGTTTTCTGGGGCTGACTATCAAAGACAAAAGTATTGGTGGGGGCTTATAAGCTATAGTATTAGGAGTACAGTTTCCCAGAGTACTTTGTACGTTGGCTAGTCATCTTTTTGGGCTACTTTTCCATCTTGCATTCATAGATTAAATTCCTCTCACAAAGTAAAACCACAGATTCAAGCTGATTTAGGCATCTTCACTCCAATGCTTTGTTGTATTCCAAACCATTGGGAGCTCAGCTGAAATACTGGCCTAAGATTCAATTGTTTACTTCAGAAAGATTCAAAACCCAAATCCATGCACCATCAGGATTCTAGAGCCTTCCGTCTCCAAAGAAGAATCCCTACTCTAAGTGCTGGATTAGCTATTTTAAACCAAGTAGCTGGCTCCCATTCCACTGTACTGTGCCATGTTCTTCTGCATCAAAAACCATTGCTAGAGGAGTAGCAAGAAGGAAAGAACACTGCCTCCCTACTTCCCACTTATTGTACTGTTTGACAGGCATAAGGAAGTGGTGAATTATAGGAGGTAAATTCTTCCTCCCTATCTGGCTCTTTTCTTGATGACCTTCAAAGTTTAAAAATTTCAGTCTCTCTAGGCCCAAAAGGCAAATCCATTGACTCTGTCAATATTGTCTGAGTGTGACTCTTTCAAATGCAAATAGTTCACATAAAAGTCTACCACCCTTAAAAGGTTTGATGTCTTTCACCTATCCCTGCATTCTGAAATTTCATCCATATACCAAGGAATCAATTTATAAATAGTCCCCTGACTAATCACACCCTGATCACCCCTGCCCCCAAGCTCAGGAACTGCATTCACCTTGATATTGAAAGGTTTGGTTCAAACTGTGTGTTCTGCCATATTGACAGGAAATTCCTATGGTTTGCATCCCCAGCTATTTGAAAATTTGGAGCAGAGCCCCACCTAGTGTTAAGAGTGGTAAAGCTATAATAATGTTATAAAACTGGGGCTTCAGGGAACACACTCTATTCCCCAATTAGTTAGTTATCACCCTTTCTAATTTTTAGCCCTGTTTCTTGTTTTAAAAAAATGCTTCCTTGAATAAGGTAGGAATATATGTGCCAGACAAGATATTTTCTACCAAAAATCACACACACACACACATATATGGGGAGAAAGAGTAAGAGAGAGAGAGAGAGAGAGAGAGAGAGAGAGAGAGAGAGAGAGAGAGAGAGAGAAAGAGTTTAAAACATGGCCCCCAAATGAAGGGAACAGACCAAATTCAGGGAGGGAAATAAGAACAAAAACAAAAAAAAAAAAGCAGGTCTTCTTCTGTTCAGTGTGAATTTATTTCTAAGCACTTTGGGGATTTGCCTGAGCAATGACGATGGCTGTGTTCTAGCAGCACAAGTACAAAGCAATCATACAGTTTTGCTGAAGTTAGACGGAAAGGGACAGATCAGATTTACACACATGTCATCAAAGCTAAAATGCCAATCATTCTTCATGACAAGGCACAGAGATCCCTCAACCTACTTGCTTGTAGGAAGGAAACCAAGATATTTTAAAAGATTTTCTTTAAATTGAAATGAAGAGAGATGTTGTAAGTTAAATTTGGAGGGGGACTGAATATTGCTTTCACCGTAGGATCGCAATTTGTTCTACTGAAGAATTTTGTATATTGTTAGAAATCAGGTTGCGGTCCTCTAGGAGTTGAACTTAACCATAGAGAGAGACTTTCTGAATCAGGTGGTGGATTAACAAGTGAAAAGAAGTCCTATGAACGTTGTAGCAGCAGTAAGGACAAAAACTTCTGAAACCAACTACCATTCATTGTCTAGAAGCCATAATAGAAAGTACTTATTCTAATCTCTTTCCTCTTCTAAATTTTTTGTATTGCTTTGTTCCTGAGCTTAGGGCAGTGCCTGACACTCAGTAGGCTCTTTATAAATACTTGTTGACTTGGTTGGCTTCTTCTGTGGTGGAGAGAGATGGGAAATGTCTGAGCAATTACTGATGGCTGGCAGATCAAAATGATCAAATGATTGGGAAAGAGCTTAACTCTGGTCTTTTCTTTCCTTTTACTTTCCCTGTGAATTAGGATATAAGAAGTTTTCTAGAAGAAGCATATGGTTAGGTATTTCTTATTTTAACAGCATTTAGTGACAAGACCTACAGAATATTGAGTAGATTCCAATGGAAGATTTATGAACAGTAATAGATATTAATTTCCCTAGCTATGGTGCCATGGAGGAACTACAATCTGTATCAGTGGAGAGAGTATATCCACACTGATAAGATCATGAATCCATCCAAAAAAGTATAACTAGAACCTGAACTCAAGATACATTGTGTGTGTGTGATTATATAAGCACTTTCATTGCATTTTTTTTATTTTTAGGCAATTGGGGTTAAGTGACTTGCCCAGGGTCACACAGCTAGTAAGTGTCAAGTGTTTGGTCTGAGGCTGTATTTGAACTCAGGTCCTCTTGACCCCAGGGCCTGTGCTTTATCCACTGTGCCACTTAGCTTCCCCTAAGCACTTTCCTTGATAGGATAAACAAAGCCATTCTGCTCCAGACCACTAAAAGGGACCTGTATTTATTTTATTATAATAGATTTAGATTTAGAGCTGGAAGAAATCTCAATGGGTATCTAGTCTAATCCTTTCATTTTAGGTTGGGGAAAGGGGAAAAGAACAAATATTTATTAAGTGTCTGCTATGTGTCAGGAACTATGCTGAGCATTTTTTATGAATATAATCTTATTTGATCCTCACCACAACCCTGTGAGGTAGGTGCTGTTATTCTTCTTATTCTACAGTTGAAAAAATTGAGGCTAAATGCTGCACAGAGGCCCAGAGTACCAGCTGGTGTGTGCCTGAGCCTAGATTTGAACTCAGGTCTCCCTGACTCTAGGCCCCATGCTCTATCCACTGTGACACCTACTATCTTGCCCAAGTTCTCACAGATAATAAATATCAGAGTTTGGGACCTGAATGCAGATATTCTGACTCCTAGCCCAGAGTTCTTTCTATTACACAATCTATCTCAAAAATAAACAAACAAATAAATAAATACAGCAAACAAAAAAGAGAAGATAGTTGCTCATTAGAAACTTCAATAATGATAGTATTTACTGTTGGACAGGTTTAACATTTCAGCTTCATGCTTTTTTATGTGTCTGTGTCCTGACGGAAGTAATAGATTTCACTGTCATTTAATGCACACTAGGAAAACAGCAGCTCCAAATAGTTTTTTTCTATAATGCTAACATAAAGTTAAAGTAACTTATAGGTTGAAGTGGCCAAGGTGGATAAAGGAAGAGGCAGTGGAGGAGAGAGAAATGGAATGATATGGGGACAGAGACAAAAATATTAGAAAAAGTGTGAAATTAACCTACCTAAGAGAATAACTATACAAAGTAAGATTGCAATCAAAGCACCAGTGCTGAGTCCTACAGGTAGAAAAATTGCCTCCACATTGCAAGACAGGATGCTACCATCAGAATCACATCTACAAACTCGAATAGTCATTGTGTTTGTGCTGCTCTGGACAGGGTAACTGCTGTCTTCGATCACAACAGGGAGAAAATAAAACTCTTGTTGCCTGCGGCTGTATCCATTTCTTCTAGTTTCAATTCCAGCTGTGTTGTCTACAAAACATGACATTTGTGACACAAGAGTTAATCAAGAACAACTTGTTTTTAAGCCAGTGGATTTTTATTTTAATTTTAATTTTTGAAGCTTCCTAGGAACCTTGTTCTATCCTTAACCAATGCTGTCAAATTCAAATCATATGCAATCTAAGGAATCTTGCAGGAAAAAAAAATCCCTCTATTTTTATCTATTAATCCCTTTTGGCATGACAGTTTAAATTTCAGAAGAGAAAGGAAAATAGAAGGAAAACATGTTTTTTATTTATTAAGTAAGAAATGGATTATAGCGAGCTATTTCTTTTTGACTTTTCTTGTCAACATCTCAACAGGAGAATAACATTTTTGTTGAGCATTTTTCATCCCACTGAAAAACAGGTTAAAAACAAAGTGTTAATCTCCATGAAGGCATTCTTACTGTAAACTGATGATTAAAAATATAACAAGAATAGATTGAGCACTTAAGACTGATACTTGATGTGATCCACAGTCCCCAAAATAACACTACTCCAACTTTTCCCGGTAGGGATCAGGTGTCATTATTTTTTCCCATCTAAATAGATACTTTCATTCTTGTACATCAGTAAGGTATGGATATTTGGAAAGGAAAGGGGTAAAGTAACTGGCTTCCTGAATGCTCTAATGATTCTAAATATGCATAAAAATCATCATCATCATCATTTAATGTAAAATATATAACTAAAGAAAAGTAGAGTAGAAAGGGCTCTTAAAGACCTCCTTTCCAATCCCTTCATTTCCTCATTTCTCTGATGAACAAACTGAGGCCTTGACAAAGGAAATGACTCATACAAGATAAGACACAAAATTAATTTGGAGGAAGTATGTCTAGAATCCAGGTCCTCCAAGGCAGCACTTTTTCCATGATACAATATTGTCTTTCTTTAAATTAGTTTCTATATATGCAGAAATAAAAAGCTATCAAAATTATTTCTGTAATTTAATTCAGTAGAATATTTTAACTTAATCATCTGGGAAATTCAGGCCAAGGCATTTATTTTCTGAACAATTGTCTCAATTTTCTGCACATTGCTACATGTGTCAGAATAACTTTGGCTTTTACATGCTACTGTTTGACTCTGGTGGTTTTAATAACTCTAGTGTTATAATAAGACACCTGAGACTCTATTACCACATCTATGCATAACATTAACATTGACACAAGGAGCAATAGGTCTTCAATAAATTTACATATTACAAAACTTTTCCATGAGATAAATGACAACATTGAGCAGAATTGCTTATGCCTTTTTCTTTAGACGTGTCTTAGCCAAGCAACTGAGTGTACTAATTCTCTAGCTGTTGACAAATTTTTATACACCCACGTATTTATCTGCACGTGCACATATATACAACATGTATGTGTTTATATGTTTATGTGTATATGGACATGCATTTGCACATAAGCATACACAGATAGAATATGTTTTATTAATAAAGATGATAAATCACCTACTATGTGCAAGGTACAACACTAAGGTCTGTAAAGGATAAAAATAAGCGTAAGACATAGTTTTTACCCTAAAAATGTTAGTAGTAGACTTGAGAAAATAAAACTTGCATATACATAAAGTAATAATTAACACCACAGATCAGAGTGGGGTCAGTGCTAATGGGTCTATGGATAATAATTCCTCAAGAAAGTAGCTCATAGTAGAGGAAGATCACTGTGACCTGGGGAATAATTATTATCACCGTAATTTCTCCAGTACTGATCTCTCTTATTATTCTGCTACAAAGGTCAATGGATGAGAAATAGTCCATTATTACTTACACTAATTATAAGCAATATATCTGTATGAAAGAAAATGCTGTTAGAGTTTGTTTAGAACACATGAAAAACGAGTCACAATAACTTAAAATGAAGATTATTTTAATATTATGTTATGAAGAAACATTTTTGTACCTTTACTTTTCTAAATAAAGCTAATCTTTAATTGTAAAACAAAGTCTTTCCAAGTTTTTTGAAAAAAAAACTTATCATTTGAAGACCACTATTAAAATCCAGTAACTTAGAGCAGAACCAAGATGGTGGAGTAGCAGGGAGTAGTACAGGGAGCTCCCCTTCAAAACTTTCCCACTCAGATCTAGAAAATGTACCAACCAAATCTTCATGAGAAAATACATGAAAATGTCACAGTGAGTCATTCTTCCAGCCCAGGTCAGTATAGGGAGTCAGCCACAGAGAGGTCTGTGGGCTTCTTTCAGAGAATCTGATCAAGAGCAGCAGTAGGTGGAGAGTTCAGGAATCTGGGAGAGTCTGTGGACTAGAGCAATGGAAGTTCCATCGAGGTCAACATAGGATACAGGAACAAGTACAATAAAGTAGGTTTGTCATTCACTACTCAGTTATAAGTCACAGATCCAGTGTGCACTGTGGAAGGTGACCTATGCCCAATGGTAGTGTTCCAGAGTAGATAGGGGCTACACTTTCTAGGCTGAGATGAACAAGTTCAGAAGCAAACTGAAGCACTGTGATTGATCCCAGAAGCCAAACAAAGTCTCAGTTCCAACTTGTACTCCATTCTGAATCCTGAAGAGAAATAATCAGGATAGGAATCCCAGACCAAAGGGACACTGTCAGTTCTGTGACTCAGAACTGGTAAACCCTTTGAACTAGCTGACAGTGGCTAAGTCAAATAGCAATCTAGTGTGGTTCAGAGCCAAACCAAGATCAAGAACAGCCAGAGCTCAGACCAGGAGCACAATCAGACTTTGCCCTGGGTCAGACTACTTTGGGAGCTCTGAAAGCTTGCAAGTCCCTAGCCTGAGATTTCTCTGAGATGTTCTAAGACTCAGTTGTCCAAGGAAGCAGTGACAGAATCAGGTCAGAAGAAGGTCAGAGCTGAATCTAATATCAAATTCAAAGTAAGGAAATCAGCTGGAAGAATGAGCAAACAAACAAAAGAATGCCACTAATTAAAAGCTCTTATGGAGGGGGCAGCTAGGTGGCACAGTGGATAGAGCACCGGCCCTGGAGTCAGGAGGACCTGAGTTCAAATCTGACCTCAGACACATAATACTCACTAACTGTGTGACTCTGGGTAAGTCACTTAACCCCAATTGCCTCACCAAAAAAAAAAAAAGCTATTATTGCATCAGGGAAACTCAAGACACAAATATAGAAGGAGAGAATAACTTCAAAACATCTTCAAGCAAAGCCTAAAAAGAAAAAAGCTTGAGGAAAAAAATCCAATTAAGATTCTTGGACGAGATGAAGCAAGAGACTATTTTATTTTTTAAAAGAGGTTTTGTTTTGTTTTGTTTTGTTTTAATAAATGAAATGATAGAGCTAAATGAAAAGAAAAACTGTAAAATAAATAAGAACCATGGAAGAAATAACTAGAAAGATAATTAACAGATTGGCACAAGAGATACAAAGCCTTGTCCAAGCAACAAACTCCCTGAAAATTAGAATGGACCAAATAGAAGTCAATGACTCCATGAGACAATAAGAAATATTAAAAACAAAATCAAGACTGAAAAATAGAAAACAATGTAAGGTATCTCAAAACAAAAACCACTGATTTAGAAAACAGATCAAGGCAAAAATAAGAATCATTGGACTACTTGAATTCATCACCAAATAAAATCTAGATATCACATTTCAAAAAATCTTAAAAGAAAACTGCAGATCTCTTAGAACCAGTGGGGAAAATGGAAATTTAAAAAATCCACTATTTACCTCCTAAAAGAAACCCCAAAATGAAAACTTCCAGTAACATCACAGTAAAAATCCAGAGCTTCCAGGTTAAAGAAAACTCCATCATATTATGCATATGTAGTGTCACAGAACTGCATGGCACACTGAGAGGGTTAATTGATTTCTCCAGAATCACACAGGCAGTATGTGTTAGCCTGGAGGCCAGGCCTTCCTGACTCCTGGTCTGGTTTTTCTCTCCATTGTACTACTGCCTTTCATTGCACGCATATAGAATGTAACTATGTCCAAGGCACTAGTATTCTCTCACCTTCCAAAAAGGTGATTGAACCAATTGATTCATCATAGGATTATGCCGAACTCTTTCTCTAGAGTTGGGTAATAATTTGTTGACTAATTTGTATTAAGCTTTAGCACTTTTTTCCTATCCCAGCAAAAGTAAATTTTTTACATTTTATAAACTTTAACAGTTTTATGAAATGAACTAAAATCTGTTACTTTATGGAGCTATGTGAGAAAAGGTCACATTTAGGTGGTTAAACTTACTTCTGTAGTCACGGACTGTAAAATTGGGTTTGATGGCAGCCTCAGGTGATAATCTAAAGGAGAATTGTTGCCCAGCAGGTGAAAGATCTCGGTCTGCAGCACTGATGATCTGAATTACCTGAAACAAAGTTGAAATTAAAAATGAAGGCAGTCAGCCTTTTCAAAAGAACCTTACTCTCAAAAGTTTAATGAGCTTATTTAACGAAACCTTGCAAGCTAGTTTGGTACATGCAATTTTCATAGCCAAATATCTAAAGAGTTATATATAGTAAATAGCTGACACACTGATAAAATAGGAAGTAATTCCCATGAGACTTGGGTTCATTTTAGTTAAGTTCAGTTTAGTTCAATTTTATATACATTTATTAAAGACCCACTTTAAGGCACCATCCTAGGCACTGGAAGCACAAAACTCGCAAACATTATAAAACTTAAGAGCTTTGAATTTTCATTAAAAAATGTGATAGATTTAAAAGTGCATTTAATAATCTAAGTTAAATAAAAGAAATGTTTTAATCTATTTCAAATTAAAACAAAAGTCAACTAGGGAAAATTAAGAAAATTCAAGTTTTTTCTATTTTCAATTTTATTAGTTATCTGTTACTAGCTCTGTCATTAATTCTTTGAGTATACATTAGTCCTCACTAATTCTCTGGTTTAAAAACAATCAGACACACAAAAAAGAACTAGAGCTAGAATAAGATTTCAATAAGGGTGGTAAAGATGACAAAAAAGCAAAATGACAAATGCTGGTGTGGCTGTAAGAAACAGGCATATAATGCAGTATTGGTGGTCCTGTGAATGTGCACAACCACTCTCAAAGGAAATTTGGAATTACACACCAAAATGTACTTAATTCTGCATGTCCTTTGACCCAGCTGTCTAATACTTATAAGGCAAAAAAGAGAAAAGAAAGAGGAAAAGGTCCTTTTGGTACAAAAGTATTTGACAGCTCTTTCTGTGGTGGCAAAAAAAGTAAACTAAAATGATTCTCAAACATTGAGGAGGTTGAATAAATCTTATTATATTGATATGATGAAGTACTACAGTGCTGTAAAAAAAGACATTTTAAAGACTTAGAACTGATGTTGAAGTTGATAGACAAAGTTGATAAACGGAGTGTGGTAAGTATGACATATGAAGTTGAAGAGCAAAGTAAGCAGAAATAAAAATAGACATATATATCATAATGTCAATATTGTAAAAATGAATAGTTTTGAGTACTTTTGTAAACTGATGAAGAATAAAATGAGCAAAATCAGTAGAAAAAATATCTACAGCAAAAATATTATAAAAATAATTTTGAAAGCTATAAGAATTATAGTCAATACAATAATCATTCATGATTCCAGAGAACTGAGAATAAAACATGTTATCCATTACACAGAAGTGATGGATTTAGGGTAAGGAATGAGATGTCTATATTTTTGTATACAGACAATGGGAGCATTTGTTTTGCTTGATTATGCATATATATTGTAAGGAATTTGCTGTCCCCCCTTATGCATTGTTGTGGGACCGAGGGTAGGAGGAAGAGAAAATAGATTTGTTATTTTTTAATAGATTTGTTGGAATGTGCTATGTATGTGAAATATTATAAGAACTTTGCAATGAGGTCACTCTATTATTAGTTTGTCTTTACAAGAGACCTCTCACAAAGTAAGAGTAATCTCTGTTTATAAAGAAAAAAAAAAATAGGCATCAAAACTTAAAGTGGAAATGTGAAAAAAAAAATTAGTGTGATGGTAAGGCCTATTCTCCCTCATATAAAGACTTCCCAGAATGGTAAGCATTTATAGAGTACGTAAGAAGCTTCACTGAGCAGAGAAGACTCATTTAGTCATGCTAAGGAGCATGGACCTCCTCATACTTACAACTCAGAGGGAATGTCTCTGGCGATAAGACCAGAAACAAGAGCTCATTAGATCAATAATTTCCAGATCAAACTCAAAGGTCACCTCCAACTGTGTGTGGAAGGAATTACTGTATATATAGAATGTGTTTCTATGGGAAGGAGTATAACCCTGAAAGTGTCACTGGGAGAGAGCTTCTAGGGGTCCAGACTATTCTCTGTCACATGCAGATGTAAAAGCTCTGAAGGGACCAATAAGAAAGGGAGTGAAGAAAGTCTGTCAGTCCTCTGTACCTAGAAAATTAACACTGGGAGATGTGAAGAGTGAATTGAGCTCATCTATTAATAGGTTCTATTGCTACCAATGCCTTACTGTCAGGTCATTAGAGAAGCAGTGAGTACACTAAATGCTAACTTAGTCGAAAAATGGTTCCATTTAGAGCCCTAAATGATTCCTTGGTAACCTGAAAATGGATTTTTTGCTGTGCCTATGTAACTTGAAACACTCAGGCTAGAGTAATCCTACTATGGTTATTTTGTTTTCCTCAGAGGCCAGATCAGCTTGGAAAGGGGACAGATTTTTTTGACAAAATTGTATGACTGCATTCACATTTTTTTCTATGTGGAAGCATTATGCCACATTTAATTCTTTGGTCACAATTAGATATATGGCTTTGCTCACTGGAAAAAATCTAAATCAGTTACCCACAGTGTAACATAAAATGGTTACTACCTACAATATATAAATAAGATTTGAATAGGAGGCTAATTAATCAAGTATGTGTCCACCAAACTTGAAAAGTTACAAATTAGAGGAACTAGAATTTTCCCAAAGATGTTTGTTGAGTCATAATTTTCATTGTCATAAAATATGACTGTTTAAATTTATATTGTTCTTATAAATGGATATTTTGCTTATGTTTAATAAGGCAATCGTAATACATATATGACTATAGCATAAAAATGCTAACATAACTAATTTGTTAATTCCAAGATAGAATTAGTTGAAACAAAACTTCTAGAAATGGACTAATAGGCATAAACTCAAGCCCTTTCAATATTTTCATATCAACATTCTAAACCACAACATGAGAGCAATTCAAAATATAGTAATTGGTTTTCAATAAAAATATACTTTATACATGAGCATAAATATACACAAATCTTATGACCAATAAGCATTTAGGTGATGTGAGAAAAATAACTAGAATTTTCCTATAGGATATGTATGCGTCTGCCTTAACCTGAGGCCAGAGTAAAGCAAACAATTGAATCTGTTGCCCTGAAAGAAGAAGTAAGGCTTTCTGTCTCAATAATCTGAATATTTAATGTTTAAGATGTTTCTACCCAGAACTCTTAGTGAAAACAGAACATCTTTCCCAATAAATCACCATGAAGCAATTTTAATATACCACTTAAAACATGATTCACATTTGTACATCATCTCAACAAAAACACGACTATCAGTGAGGCAAGATGAAAAAAGAGCCCATCAGAGCAGATCCATATATGGCCAGAAAGTTCATGCTGTGAGCATCAAACAAGGTAATATACATGGTATATTTTGTCACACTTAGAACACCATACATATCACAAATGGTAGTGACTATGTTGAGGAAGATGAAGATATTACCATGTTTCCTTCTCAGCTTTCGTCCCCTTCCTTATGCATTGTTGCACAGATTGCTTTGTGCTCTCCCCTTAGAAGAACAGCCTATGAAATCATTTTTAACTAATTCAAAGAATCAAATGTGAATATTGGTGGGATACCTGTCCTGGTTTAGCATTTTCACACACTGCTGTCTCATATGGCACAGAAATTTCTGGAGGAAACTCATTGACATCTAGGACGTTGATAAGAACGTTGACTTTGCTGGTTAGAGATGGGTTACCTATTAAATACAAAGAAAGGGGAAAATAAAAGATGACAAGAGTTGGTGAGGCATTATTTGTACTGCAAATGTTATTCATGTCAGAGTTTGTGTAAATGTCATATATTCTTCAGGATTTCTGAAAATCAGCAAAGAGACAATGAAGTGCCATTAAAATAAAATATCTGCCAATGTACAAGAAGATACTTTCATTGTATTAGATATTTTAAAAAGATATCAATCACAGAAGTAGTATAGTAAGAGAACATTGAACTGGGACTTCTAATACCTGAGTTTACCAATCTTGATAATGCCACTAACTGGCAGTGTGACATTGGTCAAAATATTTAACCTTTTTTTACCTCCGTTTATTTAGCTGTAAGGAGGGGTTTAGATTAGATCCTGATCATAAATAGAGGGCTAGAAGGAACTTTAGAGGTCATACAAGTTAACTGACTCAATTTATAGATGAAGAAACTGAGGACCAGAGATATTGACTGCATAATCAATATACTCCACCCCAGGTTCTCTTCTGAACTTCAATCCCATATTGCCAATGCCTGTTGTTCATTTCAAACTGCATGATCAAGGGGAATCTCAAATTTAACATGTTCAAAGCAAAATCCATTATCTTTCCTGACAAACCCATCCATTTCCCAAACTGCCCTGTTTCTGTCAAAGGCACCACCATTTTTCCAATCGTTTGTAACTTTGATATTGGATTATATTGGATTGCCAATTTTTCTTCACCTGGTGCATTCAATAAGTTTCCAAACATTGTTCTTTCTACCTCTACACATATATCATATCTGGTCCCTTCTCTACTCATACCATTGCCACCCTAGGTTAGGCCTTCATCACCTTGTGCCCATATTATTGCCAGAGCCTCATAATTGATCTCCCTGACTCCAATCTCTATCCATTTCACACCGTACTTCACAAGCTGCTATAGTAATTCTTATTAAACACAAATCTGACTATTTCACTCCCCTATTTAATAAACTCCAGTAACTTCTGTCTGCCTTTAGAAGCAAACATATATTAATCTGCTTAGTTTTAGAAGTCTTTCATAACTGTGGCCCGACATATCTTTCTAGCCTCTTTAATTACTCTCCCACATTCTGCAATCCCAAACTGGCCCTGTCTATGTTCCTCACTAGGGGTACTACATTTCCCATCGACATGCCTTTGCACTGACTGTCTCCATGCCCAGTATGTACTTCCTTCTCATCTCCATACTAGAATCCCTCTTTTCTTTTAAGATGTAACACGAACACCATCTTCTGCATGAAGCTTTTATTGATCTCTTCAGCGGCTTGTGATTCCTCCCCCAAACTACTTTGTATTTACTGATATTTATTCTCTTCATATTTATATTTTATATATATTTAATATTTATTCTGTATCCACACACAATATACATTATATGTGTGTATACATATACACACACATATATAAAACCTTGCATGTATGTGTTTGTGTGTATCCTTGCCAAGAAAACTCCATGAATTGTAGCGTCCATTGAGGCAGATATGACTGAATGGCTAAACAACAACATATGTACACACACATGTGCATGTGTACATATGGACATATACATATATAAAAATATTTTCCCCCTTTGCTACTAGAATGTAAGCTCCTTTTGAGTTGAGGTTTTCATTTATTGTTTTGTATCCACAGAGCCTGGGACAACATAGTAAGTGTTTAATAAACGCTTATTAATTGCCCACAGTTATACAACTATTTAGTGTCTGAGGTAAGATTTTAACTCAGTTCTCCAGTTTCAGGTCCTATCTACTATACCATGCTGCCTCTTTCAGGTAGATCTCTATGGGTCTGTCTAGCTTTAAAATTCTAGGAAAGTTTTTTCCCCCTAATACTTTTTCTGCATCATGTATTTTCAGAAATGGTAAAGCTAAAATATCCTCATATATTTAACATATTCGGATTATCTCCAAATTACCCTGGTCTCCAAAATAAAGACATTTTCATAGCTTTCTTTATATTTAAGTAGTATGAAGTCTATATGTACATTCCACATTAAAACAACAACAACAACTGAGCATAAAGCCTGGGGGGAAATTGCCTGTTAGGTAGTGGCTTAAGAAACTGTCAGGGGTTTTACACAAGTGAACTTCTGTTATCATCCAGTGTAATTAACACCAAGTAACCTTCTGTCCAGTGTTGTACTACCCCGGAAGGCATTTTCTGGGTGATCTGTGGGGCAACCTGCACTTTTTATATTTTGGTGTTGTGGGAAGGGAATAGCTTCATTATTTGTTTGTTATACATCAGGAAAATTGGCCCAAGCCAATTTTGTGAAGGTCATTTAACCTTGCTTCTGGCACCAGTACGTTGATTTTATCAGTGCTAGAGATGGATAAAGATCAGAGATTTGGGCATTCAGTGTCTCCTAACAAAGCCAACAAAGAGAATGTTTCTTGTTGAGCTCTCATTAGCAGGTAAATCTGAGCCCTCCATACAGGGCACAAAGGAAAGCACAATTACAACAGTTATCTAGTTTCATACAGGGTACAAAGGAAAGCACAATTACAACAATTATCTAGTTACATGTAAAGACAACTGATACAGAGCACAAAAATATGTGTGCATATATATGAAAACATTATGTATGTGTGTGTATATATATATATATATATATATATATATATGTATGTATGCACGTTTGTGTGTATTATATTTATATGCATTTCTCTTTGGCACAAATAAACCAGCCTGCTTCCTTATGCATCGTCAGCTAGAAAATTTTTAACTCACTGTTCATTTTGTATATGTAAATTAAGTCACAGATTCATAAGAGCATAAACGTATGTTCTTTTGGAGAACAAATATCTTTTTGAGAAGTTGGTGTGAAGGTAATCAAGAATTCTATTCTTTTTTTTGCTAGGCAATGGGGTGAAGTGACTTGCCCAGGATCATACAGCTAGTAAGTGTCAAGTGTCTGAAGCCTGATTTGAACTTAGGTCCTCCTGACTCCAAGGCCGGTGCTCTATCCATTGCACCATCTAGCTGCCCCCAAGAATTCTTAATAAAACATTTTTAAGTGAGGTAAGTGCTGAGCCTCATCTCAGGAAATTTTTTGAAAATCTATCTATCTATCTATCTATCTATCTATCTATCTATCTATCTATCTATCTATGGTTGTTAGCTCCAGATGGGAAACTGTGCCAGCTGTGACTGTTCTCCTTCCTCCCCATAACATCATTATTTTAATATATACTTACATACATATATATATATATATATATATATATATATATATATATATGTATATATATATATACACACACACTGTGTATGTCTATCTATCTAGCTATATGATATACATATATCTGTGTATATATATATTATTATACATATATTATACATATGTCTTGACTTTGAGCACCTGTGTGACATTGAACACATCCGTTAACCTCTGTCTCCTATATAACATAAGGGTGAATTAGAAAATCTTTATAATCTATTAGATAATCTCTATAATCTCTTATATCTCTGTTAATTCCTGTATGAAAGAGGCTGTGCTTGTCTATGCATGTGTATGTGTGTATATGTATATAAAAAATGAAGTGCAATTAGGGAAAAAGAACAGAACTGGGTTCCAGATAGAACTTCAGCTCTAGTTCTCACTTCTTTAATATGCTGTGCGACACCAGGGCCAAGTCCACTGCCTGTGATATTCCCATTCAATCAAATCCAACCCATCCTTATAAGGATTTTTTAAGCTTCTATCATGTGTGTACAAAGCACTGTGTTAGATGCTGGAAATGCAAGAAATCAAACAAAAGTATCTGTCCTTAAGGAGCATATATTCTTTTGTTGAATTAGGACACAACTTGAAAATTTTATGATTATATACAAGGTAATTTGAGGAGGGAGAAAAAGAGAACACTAACTCAGGAAATTGGGAAAAACTTCCCAAAGGAAGTGACCCATATAATATATCTTGAAGGAAGTTATAGATTCTCTAGAGAATCAGCACCATAGGCCTATCATAATACCTGGCACATGGTAATCACTGTATAAATGTTAATTATTTCTATTGTTATTATTAATTTCCTTACTTTATTATGCTCTTAGAGAGTTTGCCATCTCTGCAAAAGCCTGTGGGTAGGTTAGTTATTGCAGAAATTAAGGGACTTTGGAGAAACATATTCCCATAGGAAAGTGTGCTGTTCCTACATAGAACAACAGAAAGCACCTGTACAGCCTAAAGTACTTCTAGAATCTTCCAATTGGAACTTGGTTGCTGTATCTATGTAACTGTACCTGCATCAATTACCAAACTCTGTACTTTCCTCTCTTTTAGCATTGTAAACTCCTTGCCTCCATTTATATTTCAACTCTGCACTATTCCTAACTAATCCTTTGACTGATCAACCTAGTTGTAAATCAATACAATCATCAGTCATATTCCATTTCATTTACTTGGGGAAAAAGATTATGAGATCTGCTTGCATAGCACTGTGCAGTTCTCTCCTTGGGTATACACAAAATATGACTTGGCTAATCCACAAAAATGCAGAGTATTTGGACAATCCTTCAAAAGTTTTAATAGGTGTGAGTGAGAGACAAACACATTCAAGGTATGGGAAATAATAACCTGTGCAAAGGCAGAGAGATGGGATGTGGATTGTTGAATCTGGGTCATGGTAAGTAGACTAGTGTAACTGAAAAATATTATGAAGAGTCACATAAAATAAGCTCAGAGGGGTAGGCTAGATTCTGGAGCAGCAAGATTTTAAAGGTCTTTAAAGAACAAGGTGAGGGGTTTGTTTTCCATCCTATAGGCAATAGGGAACCACTGAAGATGGTGAATAGAGTAATCTATTTCAGAAAGATAATCTTGGCAGCTGTGTGGGAAATCAATTATTAAGAGAGAGACTAGAAGCCAGGAGTCCAATGAGGGTTTGTGGGTTTTTTTGTCTGTTTGTTTGTTGTGTTTTATTTTTTTTTTTAATGAGGACCTAGATTGGGATGGTCATTATGTCATTGAT